TGATGATGATGATGACGATGATGATGATGATGATGATGTATACTTCTGAAAAAAAAACAATAACGATGTGACTTTATGAAAACAAAGCCTACAAGTATTAATCTAATTATAGTAAGAATGAACGAACGAATGAATGAATGAATGAATGAACAAATGAATGAATGATGAACAAATCAGTGAATGAATGAATGAACGTACAAACAAACAAAGGGAATGAATGAAGGAAGATGAATGAAACAACATGCACGCACACGCACGCGCAGTAATCAACTCAACCAGCAGACCATACAGTGTAATTAAAAACCCTGCTTTTGTAGGTATGTATTTGTATTTCCGGCCACACACATCTCACACATACACACACACACATATAAAAACATACACACACAAACAAACACACATACACGAATAAACAATTATAAAATACCCCAGATACCTTTCGAACTCACTGAAGGGTTCAGTGAATGGTATTTTTAGGTACTATTATGTAAATTAAGTCTTATATGTGTGTGTGTGTTTGTGTGTGTGTGTGCGTGTGTGTGTGTGTATGTGTGTGTGTTTTTCCATTGTTATTGTTCCTGAGACGTATATAGCATGTACTGCCTATTGTATAATGTGTTTATGTATATATTGTATATTCGGATGCGTGTATGTATATATTGTTTGTATGTATGTGCGAGCCCATGTATGTATGTATGTATGTATGTATGTATGTATGTATGTATGTATGTATGTATGTATGTATGTATGTATACATTTGTAAGTATGTATGTGTATATTGTATATATTTCATACATACTTATGTATGTAAGACTTTTCTTTCACAGGTGTTCAGCAAGTGTTATGCAATACATACTTATATGTATATATATATGTATGTGTGTGTGTGTGTGTAAGTGTATTCCTGGTATATATGCTTGTGTATTTGGTGTTTGACAAAGTATAATTTATTTGCTGGGAGAATAAAGCATTGTGGTGGAGACTTCTTTATATCATGTAAGATTTTGCATTTAATGTTTCGGGTGTCAAACGTTTTGTATGTTTGTATGTTTGTATATATGTGTGTGTTGTGTGCATAAGTATCTAAATTTGTATGTATGTATGTATATATGTATGTTTTTCTTTGGGATTGATTATTTTGTCTTTGTATTATTGTATTTTGTTTAGTATGAAAATATTTGGTATGGTTAAATCATCAATTTTTACTTTACACTAATTCACACATTCGCACACACACACACACACACACACACACACACACAAACGTCAACATTAAAAAACTCATCACAGTAAAACAATTAAAAATAAGTGCATCGTAAATACTAAAAAAGAAAATGAAACTATCAACAGATACAAGATACAAATACAAGATACAAATACAATATACAAGATACACAAACAACAACAACGATCTCCTCAACAACTTAAGCAAATCAAAACAACAAAATCAACAACAACAACATATAATCATCGACTAAAAATATCAATAACAACAACCCAAGTAACATTAATCACATTAACAAACAACAACGACAAAACAACAATATGGATAACAACTCGGTGAAATATGAGACTAATAACATTCGGGATAGTTACAATACTAGCAGCAACAACAACAACAACAGCGTTCTTGACAACAACCAAATTACTCCAAACAACAAAACCTCCAACAAAATCGACACTCCAAGCAACAACATCAACAGCACTCCAAAAAACAACAACAACAGCAGCAATTACAGTCCAAACAACATCAACAAAGACCTCAACGTGACTCCTAACAACAACAACAACAACATTACTGCAAATTACATTAACAGTCCAAACAACAACACTCCGAACAACAACAACGACGACGACAACCAAATGTCCATTTACTACACCCAACTTCAAAACCTCCTACCACAGCCACAAATAAACAACCCACAATCGCGACTTCAACTGCTACAAAACGTCATCGACTACATAGCCGATTTAGAAGAAATGACGTCATCGAGCGAATGCACTTCCGATCCTAAGTCATATTCAGAGTCTTCGGCTACTACGCCATCTCTTTCCGGTAAGCTATATCCAGTGTCTTTCACCACTGCTACGTCATCGTCTTCCTCTTCCGGATATAACAAGATGGCGTCTATTGTGAGAAATTTGAATGAGTCGTTTGTTGTTGACTCGCTCGTGACATTTAAAATGAAATGAAATGCTCTATATGCTGACTAAAACTAAAACATTATCGTTATTAATAAATATAAATAAAATATTCATGATCATAATAACTGAATTATGGTATAGAAACGTTATTATTATTAATTATATTATAATATTTAGTGGAATTTAATGTATGTTCATCTATTCATCCGTTCGTTAGTTCATTCATTCATTCATTCGTTCATTCATTCTTTATTTCATTTATTCGTGGTCGGCTTAATAATAATGTGGGATATAAGAATGATATAGAACAGGGGTGGGCAAACTTTTGTCGTGAGGGCCGCATTGAGAACTATTTTACCCTTTCAAGGGCCGCATATGTACTTGAATACCAAATTTTTTCGACCCGGAGAAGAATTTGTTAAGATTTGTGGCTCATTTTTTTGGTCATAATGACTGGCCGACGACTTCTTTTTGGCGAACATGTTTGCCCACCCCCGATGTAGAAGATAATAATAAGATGGTCCGTTTGATACGATTTTAAAATTATGGTATCCGTGATAGCAATGATATAGATCTATTTAGTAACATTTTCCATTTGGACTATCTATTGGGATTATAAAGAAGAAGATGACAAAGATTTTAATGAAGATTATCAGTTATATAAATGTAATGAAATAAAACTACTAATGAAACTTACTTTATAATAAATGTAACGAAACGAGAAAATAAAATGTCCATTGTATTAAATATAACGAAACGAAATTTCAATCGCTACATATTGATTATCTCGATTTCACTTTAAAATTATTAAACAAAAGTAAACTTTAGTTCCAATGACAAGTGTTCGAAGTAGATTTCTGGCTTCGAACATTTTTAAAAGCAAAATTATCTTCTAATTAGGGGTTGACAACTCGACCTTTGACAATTTTTGGGAAAAAATTTTAAGTTTTGAAATTTAATTGATGAAAAAAACTCTTTCTTCTTTTCAACATTCTCTTTCTTGTGAATTTAATTTAATATATTAAATTAAAAAACAACTTACGTTTAAAACCAAAGTCAAGACACAATAAAATCAAAAATGGGATCTATACTGGGAAAAACCATGGATGAAAACCTGAAGAAAAATCAAGAATTTATGCTAGCCACTCAGAAAGCCCAAGTACCTTAATTTACAATTTTACGTTATATTTGGCCAATATACTATCTTTACTATACTTGTTTTATTTTAATTATAACTATCTGACATGCAACCACAAGGATTTTTGTTAAATCCACTTTTAAACATTTTACTAATGCCTACAACCCTAAATCTACTAAATGCACTGATCACATGAGTATATTACTCTTTAATATATGATTACTAAACTACGAATTACACTAATCTACTGACAGTTAGAAAGACAGATTCACATGCAAAATGTAATGAGAGAGCAGCAGATGGCCATGATGGTAGCCAGGTCACGAGACCTCTTCCAATGGTGGTCGACATTCTACCTTTCGTACGGGGCCATTGCTTTCATTGGGTCTGTGAAGAACAACAAAAATAAATAAATAAAAATAATAATAATATTAGTCATCAAATAATCACAAATAATTTAATTTTGTTAACCAGTGTCAAAAAAGCAGGCAAAAAAGCATTGCTGGCCCCAATGTTCCCTTTCACTTTCATCGTGGCGTACCTTGGGGACATGGCCTACGGGTCAAAATTGCACAGGATGAAAAGTGAATTAAAGTTTAAACATTTATTATAACTTAAGAGTCAAAATTGTAGATGAAAACAAAAGAGAGAAATAGAGCAAGATGAACAAAACTGAGAGAGCACAAAAAGAAGGAATGTGTGAGAGAGAAAAATTGAAAATAAGAAAGAGAGAGAGAATGAGAGAGAGAGAGAGAGAGAGAGAAGAAACAATAGTTAGAAGAACTAAAGAATAAAAACCACCAAAAGTTAGATAAAAACAGATTTAAGATGACAAATAAGCGACTAGAGAGAACTTATTTAAATTAGTAAATCAGTCAATCAATCATTAGACAATTAATTGGTGAAGTAATTGAGCAATTATTTAATTAATTAATTGCAAAATCATCACCTCGTACACACACACACGCACGCACACACACACACACACACAAACACATCAGATGAAGCAAAGAACATTCTGAAAAACGAGTTGGAGTTGTTGGACCTGCCACAACCACTACCTACACTGGAGAGCATAGACGAAAGGCGGGAAAAATATAAACAACAATAATAATAATAATAACATAATAATAACATAATAATAATAATAATAGAACGATTTGTGGTTTTTTTTATATATTTATATGAATGTCAGTCATGGAGAATCTTTATTCTACAATCAATCAGTACATCAGGTGAAAAATAATTAATTAAATGTATAATTAGCTAATTGATTATCCAATTAAATAACCAATTGATTGATCGATTCATTAAGTGATGAATAAGGATGAATTTGATAGTAATGTCCGGAAAGTTTCGTTCGTTTGTTCGTTCGTTCACACACGTCACGCACAAACATACGAACGCACACACACACACAAAATTTTTCAATTACGATGAACTTATGTGACTCGCACACACACACACACACGGACGCACACACGCACATCAATACATATAAATTTCTGGTATAAACGATTGAGGTCTTTTTTACTAATTGTTAAATAAAGCAAAAATAAATTATATTACAACGTTCATTAATGGGTTATATAAAACCAATATATATATATATACATATATATTTATTTATCTCTCTCTCTCTCTCTCTCTCTCTGTGTGTGTGTGTGTGTGTGTGTGTGTGTGTGTGTGTGTGTGTGTGTGTGTGTGTGTGTGTGTGTGTGTGAGTTCTTGTCAAGTGAAAATGACGCTAGTGATGAATGATGTCTGTAAGTGAAGATAATGAAGATCATGTCATGTCTTGGTGATGATGATGACGATGGTGATAGTGATGATGACGATGATGATAATGATGATGACGATGATGATAGTGATGATGATCACCGATTAAGACGATTAAAATATCATTTTAAAATCTATAAACAATAAACGTAGCGTCTAGGAATGATGATTATGATGAAGATGATGATAATCTTGGTGATGATGATGATGATTCGTGTATTGATGATAGTGATGATGATTCAAGTATTGATGATGATGACGGTGGTGGAGACGATGGTGGTAACGATTTTCGGACGCCGATTTTCGCCATTCTTCTTAATTCTGTGTGGTAAAAAATTGATTATTATTATTATTTTATTATTATTATTACTGTTACCGATATCATTATAACGCTGGCCACATCGCCATCGTCATCATCATCATCATCATTACTACATCATCATCACTACATCATTATCATCATCATCACTACATCATTATCATCATCATCACTACATCATCACCACCATCATCACCACACCACAATCGCCACAACCGCATCGTCATCGCTACGGCCACAAACCTTGTTACTGAGAGTAGCGGCCAGAACTATGATGATGATGGCCAGGATGATGACCAGCGTCCCAATCAAACAAAATTTCTTCTTCCTCGCCTTCGTCTTATTATGAATTAATTAATTAATACTAATTAATTAATTATAACGACAATTATTATCACTATAATCTATTTATTATCATTATTAATTAATTATAATTATTATTTATAATTGTAAGAAATTATAGTTACGTTATATTTCTGGGCCTGGCTCAGCTGTTCGGTGCCCTGTTCGACATTGGCCGAAGCTGATTCAGTGTTCGCCTCTATGGAGTCTTGAGAGAAAAAGAAGGTAGTGTATGAATGAATGAATGATAGAATGATGGAATGAATGAATGATGGTATGAATGATTGAATGAGTGACTGGACGAATAAATACATGAAGGAATGAATGAGTGAGTGAATGGTTGAATGGAATTTGAGTGAATGAACGAATGACTGAATGAATCGCGAGTGAATGAGTGAGTGACTGAACGGACAAAATAAATGGCTAAATGAGTAAACGAAACGAAACGATGAATGAATTGAAAAATGCGAAGGAATGAAGAATGAATGAATGTTAAAAGGAACAAACAAAGCCTGCCACGAAGAGACGACAAAATGAATGATGGATTGAATGAATGAAAAAAAAGAATGAAAGAAAAGTAAATGAATGAACGATTGAATGAATGTAGTGAAATATTGTCTTCCCACTACCTATTACATCTCCCTGCTCATGAACCAGCATCCCGAGGTCTTTGAAGATTTGATTGACATCTGATATATCAGACTGGGAATTATATTATATTATTGTTATTATTAAATTATATTATTATTATTAAATTATATTATCATTATAAAACAAACAAACAAGTCCTGTCAAATTGTGGTTCCGTAGTAGCTTTAAAAAGACACGTCATAATAAAATCTTGTCTTTAATTCTGATCTCAATAGTGTTCTTCATAATCTATCTCCATGTCTTTCTTCAATTTTCGCTTGGTCTGACTCCAGGTGTCTTAAACTTAATCCTTCTAAATTTGAATTAATTTTTTTTAATAAATCTAAACACTCTATTACTATTCCTCCTATTATCCTATCTGATTCTAAAACTCTTGATGTCTCTCACAAGTTTCGTAGTCTAGGATAACATAAAGGATTTCGTCCTAGAATTTGTTCTTCAACCTACCTCCAATTTGACAAGAGCATCTTCTCTCTCCTTCATGATCTCTTGATCAATCTCCGAAGCGTCGATCTGAAGCACTGATTGCTGCTGCTGCTGCTGGTGGTAGGATGCTGAGCCTCTGTGGAGCAAGCAATAATAATAATAACAACAACGATGACAACAAATTATAACAATAAATATCAAATAAAATTTGGAGAAAATATCTAGAGATAACGATTGTATCAAGAAGAACAATCCTAAACGACAACATTAACATCAACAACAACAACATCAACAACAACAGCATCAAAATCGACAACATCAACAACACATCACCCAAAATTATCCTGGGTGCTGAATGGATCTCTTTGATAGCTGGCCTGTTGAAGGAATGAATGAATGAATGAATGAACAATTGATTTTAAAATAACGAATGAATGAAAGAGTGAGTGAATGAATGAATGAGTAAATGAAAGAATGAATAAAAAATTAAATTGGGAAAATGAAGAACAAACAAACAAACCGAGAACAAACAAATGAAAAATAAACAAAAGCAAGCAAGCAAGCAAACAAACAAACAGACAGACAGACAGACAGAGAGACATACAACTTTCTTCTTTAACTCCTCCCCCTCAATATTTTTCTCCTGTCTTTGGAGCATTTGAAACTTGTTTAAGATGCCCGCGAAGTCACCTGTCAACTTCTCCCTCTGCAACTTTTGCTGTTTCTACGCGGGGCAGTGGCGGGAAAATTCAAATAAACTACGCAGCAAACAGACGGCATGTGATAGGCGGAGATCTTCTTGCATTCGAACCAGGGTATATAGCGGTAAAGTGACCAGGCACTTTACCGCTACACCATTGCGCCGCCCAGCAGGGTAATAAACAATAATAATAATAATAATAATAATAACTATAATGATTATTATTAATATTATGCGTTATGATGAGAAACCTGCTCAGATAATAAGCCACTGGCTGGGATGGCACTTAAATTCTTGAGGAATTTCGTCGTGTCACGAGCAAGTTGGTTTGTGTAGTGCTGAATTTGGTGACTGAAAGAGTGAATGAGCGTGTGAGTGAATGCATTAATGGGTGAATTAGTGGACGAATGAAAACGTGAGTGAATGAATGAGCGAATGATTGATAGAAGAGAGAATGAGAGAAACAAGTGAATGACGAGGGATGGTGCTCTAACTGATGACTAGAAAAACTAAGGAAGAGAATGAATGAATGAATGAAGAAATGTTATATGGATGAATGAATGAATGAATGAGTGAATGAATAGTTGAGTAAATGATTGATAGAAAAGAGAAAAAGTGAATGAAAGCCTGAATAGACAAACAGGTAAATGAATGGGATAGAGCTGTATCTAATGAGTGAATGAAAGAAACGAAATGATGGGTGGATGGAAGACAGAAACAACGAACGAATGAAGAAACGAATGTATGAATTGATGAATGAATGCACTGACGAATGAATGAATGAATGAAAGAATGACGAAATGACTGAAATACAATTTATCTTTGAGCTCCATGTTGTCAGGTCTTGTGGACATCTGGTTTTGTATGGACTCAAGTTGGCCGACTTAATTTAAAATTATATTCATATTATTTTATTATTAACGTAATAATTATAGCTAACATAACTATATTATTATTATTATTATAATTAGTTTTTTCTAACCGTTAGTAAAAATTTTCTGAATGTTATTTGAAATAACATTGGACAGCCTAAGGAAATCATTATTACTGCTGCTACTACTACCACCACTGGATAGATCTGTACGTAAGGATAAATTGAACATAAATTCCTCACAATTACAACAAAATATGATCATTAAAACAAATACAATGTTATTAAAATAATAATTATATTGCTTAGCTAACTGAAAATGAAAACCACTAATGCAACTAATGTAGAAGCTACTAGAACTGCTACTATGCTACTACTACAACTTCCTGGTTGAAAGTAAAAGTTAAATAAAATACTAAAAAATAATATAATAATTTATTGCTAATTTTTTATTATTACAGTTAGCAGTAATTAGACGTTTAAAATTCAATACTGTTGTCTATGTTACTATTGCTGCTATTGCAGTCACTTCTACAGCTACTTTTGCTGCTACTGCAGCTGCTGCTATGGCTGCTACTCAGCTAATATTGGTAGAAATGAAAAAATTCATTAAATCCATCATTAAGTAAACAAAGAAACAAACCAACAAAATACTATTTTACAACTTTACTGTATGATAATTATTTAAAATGATTTCTATTTAATTCAATTCACATAAAGTCTTAAACAGAGACAAAAAACAAGCCCAAACACACATACACACACAAACACACACAAACATGCACACAATAATTTAAATGTCTTCGTATTTTAGTTTTTTTTTAATTTCAAACTTACTGGCAGCAGCGTTGGAGGCAAAACTATTTCTGTCGACCATTATAGATTACCTCTTTGTATAATTTATTTAATTAATTTAGTTAATAACTTAATTAATTAACAATTTTATAATTGTTGTATCTTTTTAATGAATAGGTAGTGGGCGTTTTTTATCCTTTCAAGATTCAATTCAATAGTCACAACTCTATGCCTGTGACTCTCTGTAATGTAATGAATGTTCTGCGCTGCATATTAAATTTTTCCAGGTTTTTTAATGAATTTATTAAAATGAATTTATTTAATTAATTCTTAATTGACAAATAATAATGGCAAAAAATCAATGTTATATAATCTAGATATCATAATATAATATATTAAATTAAAATATAATTACTAATCATTTGATTTGAAATTTGTATTTATATATATGACTATCTATTCTATATGTATATTTTATTATATATGTCTTCTATATAAAATAAATATATGTTATATTTATATGACAATTTGACATCCGTAAAAAATTATTAAACAAGAATTTCAGCCAAAAATTTCTAGCAGAAATGGAGTTATGATCAAAAATTATTTTTCCAAACAATACAAATTTAATTACCTCGTCAAAAAATTTGTGAATTAGTTACTCACTGAGATATTTTTAGATGTAGAGAATTAGATAATTGGAAAAAGTAAATCGAACCAACAGATGACTCTATGAACCATTATTTAAGTAGCTGAGCGGCTGAATGGTTTTCATAAATTCTCAATAGATGGCAAAAATTAGTCATATATATATATATATATATATATATATATTTTCATATATATTTATATATTGATTTCTATTCATTTATATTTATATATGGCACTATGACTTTAACCAAAATATATAATTATATGTAATTTAATATACATGTTGTTTTTTAAATATTTATTATATACTACATATATACTACATGCATATATATGACTATATGGTACATTCAAAACCTAAGTGTATTCTAAATATATGTTTAAAATTTACTATTAATGTTTCAATTTATTTCGTCATCTCGTTGTCTTAAACTCTACAGTATATCTTTTTACTACGTTGTACAAAAAGGCTGTTGAGCCAACCAACCAAACTGGTCTATCAGCTTTTAGTTCGGATCTTCAAAATAACTAAAGAAAAGTCTGCTAAATACGCAGGTAATCAAAAAATACATAAATTAGAATTTACCATATATATATATAGATTATTTTATATAAATATATACTTATAAAAATTTTTAAATGATATTTGATAAATTACTGTATTTATTAAATAAAGTTGAAAAAATGGGCGATAGTGTTAAAAAAAAAAAACATAATTCTAGTTTTATAACTCCATGGTCACACCCCTTTTAATACCAATTCACTTTTCATTTCCTTAGAAACCCGTTCGTGGAAAAAAAATCGCCTTCTAAGTTCTGCTTTTAGCTTCTGTCCTAATTTTTTTGTTTTATCCGGAAATTTTAGTTTTTTCTGTCTATTTTAGTCTCCAAAAATGTCAACTAATGGTAAAACAGCGGCCGACGCTCTGAAATTGGAGGATGCCGAATTTCCGTTAAATCAGGGTGAATCAGCCAACGTCCAAGAACTCTCTCAGTTTGTCAGTTTGTTTTTTAATATAAAGTCTTTTTAAAATTTATTAGATTAAAATTATAAAAGGAAATTGTTCTAAATAAGTTTTACTTTTTTTAATAAGAGTTTAATTAAATTGTTAATAATGTTATAAAATATAAACCTTGACTTGTGATTTTTTTGTTTTTTAAAACTTTAAAAGCATTATCATTAAAATTACACTCTGTTTTTTTTAGATGTTTATGTTAGAGACATCTAGACATTAGAATTTAGGACTTGGATTTCAGTATTTCTTGTTTAGTCACCATCAATTAAAATTTAAATTAAATGTGATTATTCCTGAAACTGAGATTTTCTACATTGATAATGAAATGACTGATTATATTTTAAAACTTAATATAAATATATTACAAATATATTTATAAGAAATTGAAAGTTAATTTAAAATTATTGTCTACAATTCCACAGATGCAAACATTTTTACAGCAAATGCAAGAAAAATTCCAAGCAGCTTCAGACCAGATATTAGGGAAAAATATCCTTTCCTTATAGAGTCCTAATTGTTTTTTTCATATTATAATTATTTTTATTGTTATTATTATTATTGTTGTTAAACATTCTTATACACCATTCTACTTTTAAAAGTATTTTGTCTATTTATATATAATTTGTACCCTCAATTGTATAATTTTAAATATAGCATTAATAATAATAAACAATGATAATATTAATAAATAATATTAATAATAAATAATATTTATGACCATTTGACCTTGACCTAATAATTCACTCGACCTGATGTCTCAGAGAATCGATGACCTCGAGAAGAACATCACTGACCTCTCGAAGCAGGCATCGCTAGAAGATCAAAAACAGCAATCAAATCAGCCCCCAGCCGCCTCCGAATAATAAAATTATTATTATTGTTATTTATAATTAAATATATTAATTATTATTTATATCTGGACCACTGAATGAAGAATAAATGAATGGTTTGGTTTTATAAATTTGAAGACAGCAAAATAAAAGTTTTTATATGTTTTTATGCTTCCCTTGTCGCGTTGACTAAGCGCTATAGTTCAATTTCTGTACTCAAATTCCGCGTCTATCAAGCCGTCGTCAGGTTCGAATTCATTCGTTGCAAATTTTTTTTTAAATAAATACAAAAATTAATGGAAGCTTAAATGTATTTTTGAAAAATTGTAAATATCAAAGAAGAGATATAGGAGGAAAAATGTGATCTATGTATATGTGTGTGTATTTGTGTGTGTATGTGTGTGTGTGTATTTGTGTGGTGTGTGTGTATTTGTGTGTACATGTTTGTGTGGTGATGTGTATAGTAATATATGGCACTGCAAAAAAGGTTATCGATTGAATGAATGAAAATTCTATGTGAATAAGAAAACCATGAATATAAGAAGCTGCAATATTTAAAATAACTGATAACCGATAAAAAAATTTCAATCATAATAAATAATAATAATAAATCATAATAAAAAATGAAATAAATTATAACGGCAATAATTATGAATAATAATAAATGATTATGATCTACAACGGCTCAAGTGAACGAAAGTAAGACACTACATATCTGGTAGCGCGCGGTCAATCAATCAACCAACCAATCAATAATAATAAATAATAATAATAATCAATAATAACAACAATAAATAATAATAATAAAAACAATAAATAATAATAATGAATGATAAAAATAACAGTAAACAATAACAATAGGCTAACATTAAACTGATGCAAAAGCAAAAGCTACGGAAAAAAGTGTTTTTCAAAATAAAAGAATAAAAAATATAAATTATATTATTATTATTGTTGTTATTATTATAATTATTACTATTCCAACGTAGTAAGAATGTATTGAGAGTTGTCTGGTAAATTTTTTGAGAGGGATAAACTCTTTCTTTTCTTTATTAAAAAATGGTTGGTTTGATGGACGGATCAAACTGCGTTATTCATCTTAACATTCAAAGGATTAATTCATTCGTCCTATCGTTCATTCAATCGTTCGTTCGCTCATTCATTCCATCATTCATTTGATAGTTTTTTTATTGATTTGTTCATTCGTTTATACATTCGTTCTTTCGTTCCATTCGTTCGTTCGTTCGTTAATTTATTCATTAATTCATTCACTCATTATGTAAATCATGACTAGAATTGAAACTCGATTAAAAAAAATGAAACATTAATTAATCAGCCAACCGACCAATGAATGAATGAATGAATGAATCAATCAATCAACCAACCAACCAACCAACCAACCAACCAACCAACCAACCAACCAACCAACCAACCAACCAACCAACCAACCAACCAACCAACCAATCAATTAACCAATCAATTAACCAATCAATCAATCAACCAACCAATCAATCAATTAATCAATCAACCAATCAATCGATCAACTTCATAATCTCTCCCACAATGAAAATAAAAGTATTGACAAGAATTTAATAGGGCCAGGCACATCTGTACGGTTGAGATAATGGAGCGGGGAGACATTGGTTGATCTTCTCGCAACCAGGGGGAGACCAGTTCTAGGCGGTGATGACGATGACGATGATGATGATGGTAGTGATGATGACGATGATGATGGTAGTGATGATGATGACGACGATTATGATAGTGATGGTGATGGTGACGATGGTGACGATGGTGATGACATATTTGTATTTAAACGATGGCTCCGCACACACACACACCACACACACACACACACACACACACACACACACACACACTGACTCTCACACACACACAAACACTTACTCACAAACACCCAAATCCGCACACACACACACTCGCTCACAAACAAACTCACAGACACACATACATTCACAAACACATCCACATCCACACACACACACACGCACACACTCGCATACTTGGACGGATTGATCACACCATTCCAGCTGGGCCTTCCCGAATTCCATGCTCTCCTCATGTCTCTTCAGTACCTGATTCAAAATCACCACTGTGTCCCTATACTCGTTCGTGTTCACACTGTGTTGTTGTGATGATGATGATGATGGTGATGGTTGTGATAATGATGATGGAGGTGATTAAAATGATGATAGAGATGACAATGATGACGACGACGACGACGATGATGACGATGTTGGTGATGATGATGATAACAACGAAAAACGAACAGAGTAAAAGAGAGACAGTCAGAAGAGAGAAAAAGAAAGATAGATAGAGAGAGAGAGAAAAAAAAGAGAGAAAGAGAGAGAGGGACGACGACGACGATGATGGTGATGATGATAACAACGACGACGATGTGATGACGTTTACTTGATGGGCATCTTTTCTCCCGGATCTCTTCCCAGATGGAAGAGGATGGGATTCTTGGAATGGTCAGTCATGTTGCTAGTGGTCACCCCGTCTACCTGCTGGCCAGGGCAATACTCGTAGCCCTGCAAATGATGATGCCAGATTAAGATGAATGATGATCGTGATGCCATTGAGACGCCGGATGTCATTATGACGTCATTAAGCTGCTGGTAACTATGACGTCACGGTGATTTTGATGCTGGCGAGATCATGAGGCAATGATGATGACGCGATTATGACGATGCTGATGATTATTACGTCACGATGAAGATGATGATATAGTTTGCTAGAATGTGAAACACTAAAAATCGCCGACAGTTAAAACACAAACTGCGCTATACAAATCACAAAGACGCCACTTAACGAGATATAAATTAATTAATTAACATATTAATCAGTTATCCAATTAGTCAATTTCTTTAATTATTAAATCAATTAATTTATTTAACTATTTATCAAATTAATTAAGCAATTACTTGATTTTTCGCTTCAGTCGGTGTTGCCCATGTATAATAATGAGCCTTATACGGACCGTACCTAATTAACATATTCACCGAACATAATTAGCATAATTTATGAGGATGACCAGTATCATTATTAACTACATAACCTAATTAGCATATCCATCAAACATAATTAACTTAATTTATGAGGATTATCAGTATCATTATTAAACTACTACCAATATCATTATCATCCCATCTCCATCATATAATCATTATTATTATTTTATTATTAATGTTATATTATTATTATTATTATTATTACTATTCGTAATAAAATTTATAACCACCTGATATTGAATAAGGTGTTTCCTCTATAGTAAAAAATTGGCCTGGAAATAAAATAATAATAAAAATAATAAT